CTCGACTTGTGATCAGAGTCACGGAACGGATTAAGTTCGTAAGTAGAGGTACCACTGTATACATTTGAAAATACACATTTGAGTCAACGGTCACAACAGGGCATCAGCACTCACTTCAAAGCACCTTGTCACACCCCGTTGGTGCCTCCTTAACTCAAATGTGCATTTACTTTGGGGCACACAGCTGCTGTGCGAGCCTAGGAAAAGAGGCTGTTTCTCTAAGGAGGTGCCAAGCGGAGCAGCAGACGCCCAGAGACATCCTGAAATACTGTTTTAGCTTCTGAACTAAAACACAACATCCCTTGTGTGTATGCATGTGGGCTTGCCATTTAAAAAAAACATTGTGATGTATTTTTGCCTTAAATAAAAGCACAAAGTGGTTTGAGTCGTGTTAAAATATTATCGTCATGTAAAACTTTATAAAGCCATTATCTTTACATTGTCTTGTGAGCAAATCTTAAAAACTTACGTATATTTTCTGTCTGAAACAAGAAATTATGTCTGCATGTAGCTTGTTTTACTGGCTTCTTTAACATATTACTTCGTCTGCCCTCTCTAGACATAGTTGGTCTTGCATCTAATCTACACGTAAATTTTAAGAAGTTTATACAAATAATATTTGTATCAGAAGCCTTTAATGTAATAATAGCCATATGATAGAATAATAAATATGAATTTACTCGTCTGTAATAAATAGAATACTAGAAATATTAATGCCACGTTTATATAATGTTAACATATTATACAGGTACTTATATCAAGGATTTTTCCAAATTCTTTTGCATATGTTCATAATATCATTATCTCGGTGTTCAAAAAGTGTCAGGATACATGCCTGGTATTTGAAGATCCCAGGATGAGTCCTTGGCATCTCCACTTAAATAGGCAGATTTTTGTTAAGGAGCCACTCATAGTTGGACTATACAGTGCTGGATTAGATGGGCAAATTATTTGATCTGGGGTAAGGTATTTTGTTGTTGTTGTTCAAGATGGAGGCTTTGGACTTAGAAACCCAAGTTTTGCTCAGGTTTTATTTCTGTGATCAAAGGGGTAATAGCTAGGACTTTTCACTTTACAGTGTATTTGCAAAGTTGTATAAACCAGAGTTTTGAAGACCACACTCTTTCTGTTGACCTTTTCTACCATGGGAAATTGGAAGTTAAGAACACTGCCCTCATCGTTTTTCCTTTCCATGAGTGCTTACAGAACGTTTATATTTTCCTACCACCAGCACTCAACTTGCTATTAAAACCACTGCACATCTTGAGAAATGCTAGTTCTTTGTTGGAATAAAATATCAATGGTCCCCCCACCCCCAAAAGAGGAATCTTGGTGTGTTATGCCTTAGAGTCTAGACTCATTCTCCTTCAGGCAGAAATACCTTCAAAAGGGAGTTGAGTTCACCTTAGTGGATAGGTGAGGAAGGAGCTGCCTTAGTTGTTTCAGGTCTTAACACACATTCCCTGAATGTTATAATGGTTACAGGCTGTGTGCCCCCCCTCAAAAAAAAAATGGAGAAAAAGCAGAACCCCCTGGCTCTGCGCATGGGCTTAATGTGGCCCAATCCATTCTGCTATCCCTGCCCCCAGCATCCTCCCCACAAATGGTAAATGCATACTTGAGTATCAAAGTCTCCCTCCCCGATTTTAGATTTTTTTTTTTTTGTGGTAAATCAGTGTGAAAGATGGTTAGAAGTGCTGAGACTGAAGGATGTTCTTTCATTGTTTAAAATACAAAATTCTGGCCTGTTTAAATTTTGCAGCAATACATTTTTCCTAATAGAGGTGTCAGATTTCAGATATTGTTTACATGGGTGGGATAATGTATGTAATTCTGAAAGTCGCCATTTCACAGTGTTCATCTGAAAATCTGGACTGGACGCATGAAGTCCCTTCCCATTTATAGAGATGGGGGGAATCCTACAATTATATTTCTATCTTTGCAAAAGTGTGCCTTTAACGCAATTAGTGTCATAATAGGCTTAAATCACTATATGTCACATTTGCATAATGTGCCACTCAATCACTGTAATTACATATCTGAGTCCCTAATCAGTCTAAAAATGTCAATCCCTAGATTGTTCCCTAGAAAACAAGTAGTGTTTATGTGGGGCTTATTCTTAAAACACTGGAGGGACAATCAGAATTTACTGTTTCTAAATGCTTTGCAGCAGTCCTTATCCCTTCCTATTAATCTTAATTTAGCCAAGACTGAGAGCTTGAAATGCAGTGTCTGTAACTTAAATAAACTGATTATAGTTCTTCCTTAGACATTAATATAATTTCCTCAAAAAAAAGGCAGCATGTTGGAGTTTTAATTTTAAGGGGGTCAGAAATGTGAGTGGTAAGCTGTCACTGGACACACCAAAGTTACATGGATAGGAAGTCATGAAGTATTTTGTACACTATGCAGTGATTAAGTTATTTGCATTCCAAAATGCAATCCTGTGCATGCCTATTTAGAAATAAGTTCTCTTGAATTCATCTGGAGTTATTTTTAGGTAAGTGTGTATTGGATTGCAGCTTATGACAGCTAGTAAAAAAAGTATGCGTTTATTTTTTAAAAATGTTTCCTGCCACATTTTGACATGAATAATAGAAAACTTAAAGAAAATATCTTTCTCTCTGCATTATTCTTTTTTTTCAAGAGTGTCCAATCATTCTGGATACTTCGTATTTTTTTTTTTAGTGCTGGCTAGATCTCCTTCAGGATTAAAGTGCCACCTTCCCACCCCCCAGTAATACCTGTTAGGTTAAAGAGGTTTTTAATAGGTTTTCTGAAATGTGTAATTGCACTTTTGCCTTCTTTTAAGCTGTGAAAATCAAGAAGCCAATTAAGACAAAGTTCCGCATGCCAGTATTTAACTGGGTAGCTCTGAAACCCAACCAGATCAATGGGACTGTCTTCAATGAAATCGATGATGAAAGGATCTTGGAGGTATGAACCTTGAACATTGTGATTTTGAAATATCTGGAGGAGAGGGATCCAGGAGGATCGGAGGCAAAATTACTGCATCCTATTGAAGTAGAATCATTCTGATTTGCTATTGTACATTTGGTGATATGCACTTAGTAGATTTTAAATACTTCATCATTATCAAAAAAAAATACTCAATTTGATGGACTGACTTAAATTTATGTTCTTCTGTCATATATCCATATCTTTACCCCTACTTATTTGGATGCTTGGGTGTTTTCCTTTCTGTCTGTTTGGAGTTAGGTTTATTTCTAACTGAAGAAAACACTTTGAGCCAGCTTCCATTTTTGCTTCAGAATTCATCTTTGTCTTCCCCTGTGATGCATAACTGTGACCTAAATTCACATGACTGGTGATAAGTATATTTGATGAGGCATTGAGATTCCAGGTGTTTTTACTTTGAGGTTGTACAGATGTTAGTAGAGTTGGACCATTTCTTGCGCTTTACAGATGAATACTGTAAAAAAAGAAAAGGAATTTTATAAGATTTTTCTTTCCAGCTTGTCCTTTCTAAAAACTGTCTGTTTTAGGATTTAAATGTGGATGAATTTGAAGAAATATTCAAGACAAAAGCCCAAGGGCCAGCCATAGACCTTTCTTCAAGCAAGCAAATAACTCAGAAAGGATCAAACAAAGTCACGCTTTTAGAGGCAAACCGGGCGAAAAATCTTGCTATCACCTTAAGAAAAGCTGGAAAGACTGCTGATGAAATATGTAAAGCTATTCAAGCGTAAGTGAAAAGGTTTTATATACAATTTTAAATATATGAACTGCCAAACCGTATTTGCACAACTGGATTAGATCCAAGAAGGTTTGCTCATTTTACTTTCTGTAGATTAGTGACTGTCACTCAGTGTTTTATACCAAAGCTCCAAGCCTGTGCACACTGTTTTTGGATTCAGCTTCTTAAATTCCTTGGGATATACTTAAAGGCGAATATACATGTCACAAAAGCATGAAGAAAACTGATCTGTTTTACTATAATAATCAATTGGTATTTTTTTTTAAGAACATAATATATAGATTCATCTATAATTCTTGTCATGCAACATTTTCATTCTTAGCAGCAAGTTAAGTACCATTTTGAAATAAATATGGTAGCTATTAAGGAAATGAAAAGAGTCTAGTTCTTTGTGTATTATTTGAATTTAGTCCAAGTATCTTGAACAAATGTAGAATGGCATTATGCATATGTGATTCATTATTATTGTGCATAGGTTGCCTCTTCAAATGTTCAGCTGGCTCATCTGGCAACCAATTAGCGATTAAATGATCCATTATTGTATCTGGATGTCACTTGCAAATCATACTTCAGAACAATGCTTATCTTAAGAGCCATTTATGAGCCTAGCTTACAGAATGTGCTTTGCAGTCTTTCCAGGAATGTGGAATCTAGCCAGATCTCTTTCCAGAATACATTTCTATAATCGAACTTATCACACTCAAGTTTTACAAATCTTTCAAATGGATGTTGAGACCCACAATAACTTCAGTAATTTGAAAAGCTTGTAAAAACTGTGTGGGTCTGTTGTACTCCTAGGCAAAATATTTAAAGATGTACTTCTGTTGTTCATATTGTATGTGGTTTTTTACCTTGCACGATATCTGTTGATTGCCAAAAAGATCAATGTAAAAAGCAGTGAATTTGCAGTAATTACTATTTCATTAATTATAGCAGGACTGATTTGTACTTCTGAAAGATTCTTTGATTGAAATATCAAGAAAATTATATCATGCTCTGGTTTTGCTGGAAACCAGCTTTTTGAACTGTCCACTCACTGTCTTTCCTCTCAACTTAGTGTATTTTATTGTGTTGTGTTGCATTGTTAGATTTGATTTGAAGACTCTGCCAGTAGATTTTGTTGAATGCCTGATGAGGTTCCTGCCAACAGAAAATGAAGTGAAAGTGTTACGGCTTTATGAGCGGGAAAGGAAGCCTCTTGAGAACCTGTCAGACGAGGATCGGTTTATGATGCACTTCAGCAAAATAGAGAGACTGATGCAGAAAATGACCATCATGGCATTCATTGGCAACTTTACTGAAAGCATACAGATGCTTACACCGGTGAGTGAGATATGGATCAGAGGTCTATTTTGCAAAGGGAAAGGACTACTACAACTTAATTCTGAGGGTTAGGCTTACAGGTAATCCTTGTTTAGTGACCACAATTAGGACCGGCACTGGATCATTAAGCAAAGCGGTCACTAAGTGAAACATCATGATCTTACAATCTTACTTCAGCTTTCCTTTGCTTTACAGACCTGCAAAGGTTGTAAATGCAAAGACTGGTCGCAAAGTTACATTTTCATCACCGTTGTAACTGTGTACGGTTGCTGTATGAGGTGGTCGCTAAATGAGGACTACCTGTACACTGAAGCATTTGTTAATGTTCATTTTTGAGCAGGTATTCTAAAATACTTGCTTATTGGAGATGGTCTGACGTTATTTCCTTCTCAGTGTGTGCTTATCTCTATCCATTCTTAGCCACAACATATAGCTGTGTTGAGATAAATGCAATAGGTATTGCTCCATACATCAGATACGTCAGATCCTTGGGCGTGCAGTGTGTGCAGATGATGAACTGGAAAAAACAGCTATGCTTAGAAGGGTTGAGAGAAGTAGAAGGGGGAAGCAATGGCTAAGATGGACGGGTGGTTTGAAAAAGATTACAGAGACTGTGTTTGGAAGAGCTACAGTTGTTACTAGCAATCGGTTGAGACTGCAGACGTTTTTCAGTGACGTTACCATGCAGTCCAACTTGATTGCATCGAACTAACTGTTGCCTGATCAGATATAGTCTCTTGTGTGAGAGGTTCTGTTTGTGGTGTGTGGGTTTTTTCTCTCCGCCGTCTTTCTTGCTGCCGTCTTGAATGTTGGGCCAAGAGTGGAACAAGGGATTGGGGAGTATCTGTGCAAGCTGTGTGCTGTCTTTGTACACCACGGTATTGCTTCTCTACTCAGATGGGATAATATAAGTACATTAAAATGACTTGGATTGAAAACCCATCCAAGTCATAGTAAATAGTTGCGTTACCTGACAGTCTTGTTTTTGAAATTATATTTTGGGTTGAAATCAGTTGTATTCTAATTCTGGGTCAGTTGTTGAAGTGAAAAATAAAAAAAAAGAGGAGGAGACAGAAATAACAGCATACAGGATCTTGAACATAGGCTTAACTCTGCCCTGAGAGGTGTCTTACATAAAATTCATTCCTTCTGGCAGAAATCTCTAAGTGTTCAATTTTAATTTGCACTTGCTGAGTTTTTAAAGATGTTCACCCTATTTCCTGTTTTTGCCTTTAGCAACTACATGCAGTCATTGCAGCATCTGTCTCCATAAAGTCCTCTCAGAAGCTCAAAAAAATCTTAGAGGTAAGTGCAATTTTTGCTGCTGCCTTTTGAGCTGTATATTTGTGTGTAAACTCCCCTTTCATTTCAAGGAGCAACTTTCAATAATAGCTGATAATATATTTTTTCTCCCATCTCTTATGATACCTGCAGATAATCTTGGCTCTGGGTAACTATATGAACAGCAGTAAACGAGGAGCTGTCTATGGATTTAAACTTCAAAGTTTAGATCTGGTAAGTAGGAGCCTGCCTTTACTAGAAAGATCCCCATTCACTCATCAGCTTATGTCACAGGAGGGGGAAATTGACATTTGTCTAAAAGCCATCAGGAATGCTACCCAACTAAAGTCATTTACATGCAAGTAAATCTGCTTGATATGGAGGGTTGGAAATGTTTTCAGTATGAAAGTTGAGTGGGAAGGAATGGTAGGATTAAAAAAAAATAAATTTAGTCTTCTGGACACGTTACAATTTTTTAAAATTAAAAACCAAAAATAGCCACATTTTAAGAAGACAAGTGCAACTAATAAGCAAATCATCCCTATCGGGTTGCTTGAGCCATTCATTAAAAGAGAACAAAAATTAAGCAGAATACCCTTGTATCTTTGGTATTCATTGTTCATTATACTCATTGTTTTAATTTACAAAACATTCTGATTTTAATTTCCAAGAAAGTTGAGAGATGGTTATAATAAAAGCTGACAGAACCCAAACAAGCTAATTTTTGGTTCATACTTTTGTATGTTGATTCAGTGCTAGTTTCCATTTAAACTCAACTTCTCGGTTTGAAAATAGTTCTAATATAACAAATTTGAACGAAGTTTCAGTTGATTAATTGAACAAATAAATTGTCTAAACCTAGTTTCCTTGGTATTCTGCTCTGCAGATAGACAGTGTCTTGAACCATATGTTAAGGTAACTGAAAATCTTTCATGGAAGAGAAAACTTCCAATAGCTGCAAAGGCAGTTGTAGGATGGACTACAGAAGAATCAGCAGAGAGGAGTAATTACTTCCAATCAGTCTTGGTTTTTAAATGAGCTAAGTTCATGGCAGGAAGGTTCTCACTTATATCATCATCCTGGTTGGAACTTACCCCCCATCCCAGTTTGTTCAGGAACGTCCCCCCTTCCCTGATCCTCTTGGACTGGCTTTGAAGAAGTTGTAATTTGCTGCTTGAGAGAAGATGGGATGGAGAATGTTGTTTCCCAGAAATCTAGCATTTTCTCTTAGAATCCAGTTAAAAGTACCCTCATTATTGTATTCTTAACGTGCCTCTTTTGCCTTTGTTTGCAGCTGTTAGACACAAAATCAACAGACAGAAAACAAACTCTGCTGCACTATATATCCAATGTTGTAAGGGAGAAGTATCAGCAGGTTTCACTTTTCTACAATGAGCTTCACTATGTAGAGAAAGCTGCTGCAGGTAATATGGCCATATGTTACTTCTTAAGTTGGAAAGTAGTTCTAGATTCATTGTATGCCTTGTTTAATGCAGTGATAACCCCTAAGAAGGGAGTCTCTGGCGAAGCTGTTAGCTTGGGAACGACACAAACTTGTAAAAGGCAGATGGACTCTTAAGGGGAAAGTTTGAGCACGGGAGATCACAACGTCATCCTGATTTTAAAACCAATTCCTTCTCTTTTTAGCAAGCAGGCCTCTTTCCTAGTCTCACCACAAGACCCATGTCTTTTTAACGTAGATGCATATTCAGCAGGTGCAGCCCTCTGCATCCACCAGATTCTGGGACCCACCAGCAACCAATCCCCCCACCTTCCCCTCTCACTCTCATGTCCTCCTGCCGTCTCCACGTGAGAGGGTGTATCGTAGGACGGCATATGCGCAAGAGAATGATTGCTTTTGGTTGCTTTGTTCATGTACATCTACATTTCTTTTAAATCTGGAAATCAGTTGAGATGTACCTGTATGTGTTAAAATTCAACAGTTCTGTCAGAAATTAATCATTAAAAGTAATAATGTTGTTTATAAGAAATATAACATTTCATCTTCGCATCAAATATTTCAATCCTCATCCACTTTTTCAAACTTGTTATACGGACTCTGCATTGCAATTCCAAAAGCCACTGCCGATCAATGAGATTTGTACACTCCTATTTATATATACTTTTCCTGGGAAGTTGGCTGTGCTTCCCCATAATTCTGATTGTACATCACTCCAATACTTGTTCCTAACTGCATAGCCTCGAAGAATTCTGCCCCTGCAAGAGCTTATGTCATCCATGTTAGGTAAACATACTAGCTGTCACAATGCTTGGACAAAAACCTTTACTTTGTATTTGATCAATAGGGCAGAAATTGGAGGAGAAGCAGCACATCGCTGGTGAAGGGGCTCAGAAACGTACTTCCCATGAGCTGTTTCTGTTTCTTATGGCATGTGGCATCATCCTTCCCATTGCCTCTTTTGCTCTTTTTCTTGTTGTTTTCTGTTTGTAACTTGTATCATACTTTGAATGCAGTTGGTCCTTCATTATTTTAGTAATGAGAACATTGTGGTATAACTTATGCTTATGGTACATCTCTTATGAAACTGGCTGAGGTCCTAAACAGGTAAATTTCCATGCCTTACTGTATAAGATTCCTTACTGGATTTTGGATCAAGGATATGCCATCTAAATTAGAGACATGTGCTGTCTAATATAGCCTGTTGTATTTTTTCCTCTCTTTTAGTATCCCTTGAAAATGTTCTACTAGATGTAAAGGAACTCCAAAGAGGTCTGGACTTAACCAAGCGGGAGTATACTATGCACGATCATAATACCATGCTGAAGGAATTCATTCAGAGCAACGAAGGGAAACTGAAGAAGTTGCAGGATGATGCAAAAATAGCCCAGGTATTCCATAGAGTTCACCTCTTCTTTAGATTTAGCTATCCAGGTCTGAGAGCAAAGGGATCATTCACCTTCTGAAGCTAAACATTACCTCTTCAGTGCAGACCGAAGCACAAGTCATTTTCTAAGTGCAAGTATGGCATAGTAGTTACAGTGCCAGGCAAAGACCTTGGCTGATGTTCCTGCTTGCTAGATGTTGGGCTAGTCTTTCTGACTCAGCCTAACTTGTGCTGAGTCTAACTATTGTGAGGATAGATGGGGGTCTGGAGGAGAGGACAGTGGATCAAAGGAAACAGTGAATGTTTCCCTTAACTCCTCAGAGGAACCTGAAAGGGAGGATTTGAAATGTGGTAGCTCCTAGGGGAGAACAAGGTAGCAATATGGGCTCCTGACGTGGAATGCTTCATACTGAGCAGAAGGACTTTAGATGTAGACTGAAATCCTATATGCACGCAATCGTAATGCATGCCCCTTGAAAATGCATCTCTTGATGAAAGTCACATCATGCTCCAATGGTTCTCCAAGGCATGGGGACCAAGTGATAATAGAAAAAGCAGCCAACTGTAAAAAATAGATTCATGGAGTTGGAAGGCCCTTTGTAAATCTAATCCAATTCTCTGCTCCATTACAGGATCCCTGATGGATGACTGTTAAGCCTTGGTTTAAAAACTTAGAGTTACTACTTCCCGAGGCAGGCTGTAACTTCACAGGAAGGCATCTTGAGACTTATTTTGTAGTGATAGCAGAGGGAATATCTCAAAGGGTAGAGAGGTTGAGTAAAGGTTTGTATATACTAGCTGGAAGGATACATTACTCTATTAGAACGTGTAAAAGTATGTGGGGGTGGGCCTAGTTCTTTCTTTTTTTCCTATCTATTTTATTGTATTGTATGAAGCTGTATTTTATTGTAACAAAATGAGATAAATGTACTTTATTTATGCCATAATGAATTGGTCATTAAGTTAAGCTTTGGCTCTTTATTATTTTACTGCAACAAACTGTAAAAAGCTTTGGCTCTTTATTATTTTACTGCAACAAAGCTGCTTGCTGTGGGAAAAACATTAAAAGTGTGTCTCTTACAGGATGCCTTTGATGATGCTGTGAAATATTTTGGAGAAAATCCCAAGACAACTCCTCCATCAGTCTTCTTCCCAGTCTTTGTACGATTTGTGAAAGCTTACAAGGTAAATCAAAACTACCAGCACTGATCATGTTATAATCTGAACTCATCCTCAGCTTCAGGTTCTGTAATTTCTTTGTGCAAAGCAGACTCAGAAACGTGGTGGGGGGGGGGCAGATTTTGAAGACCCAAGGACTAGATCAGAAACAGGCAAACTTGCTTCTATATTCCTTCAACAGTAGAGCTGCAGGGTGGGATTTGCTAAAGCAAGCAATCAGTGTCCAATCAGGGATAAAAACAACCATTCTTGCACTCTGTCTCTGTCTCTGTCTCTCTCTCTCACACACACACACACACACGCTTCTTTTCTTTTTCTGATTCTTTTCCTCAAGCTGCAAGGAAGAGACAGATAACTTAAAGGAGATCTAAACTGATCTCTTTCCATAGGGATTTTGAAATGAACTCCCCTGTGGTCTAGAAGCACCTTGATAAGTTTTTGACCACCTATCCCACAATTTCCAATTGTCTAGAGTTAATGGGACTTGTAGTCAAATATTCTAAGGGCACCATGCTGAAGATGGCAGATCTATGAATTCCCAGACTCTTGCATTAGTTACAGTGGATCCAGTAATGAATTAATTACTCTTTCATTTGATCTGTGTTTAGCATCCAGAGTACATATGCACATGCATACACACACACACACACACTTCCTTATGTGCAAAATGTAGCAGCACTTCTATATTGGGCAGTTGGGAGGGGCTGCCAATTTGAACCTACAGAGATGGAGCCAGAGAAGAGCCGGAGCAACCAGGGATCCTTCCCTGTAAAGGCGGGTGGTTCTCTTGCAGAGAA